CAATTCTCCTGCCTCAGCCTCCTGAGTAGCTGGGATTACAGGCACGTGCCACCATGCCCAGCTAATTTTTTGCATTTTTAGTAGAGACGGGGTTTTACCATGTTGACCAGGATGGTCTCGATCTCTTGACCTCGTAATCCACCCGCCTCGGCCTCCCAAAGTGCACTTATTTTTTTTTTTTTAACCAATTTCCTTTTCTAAAAATAAACTCTATTTTTTTTTTTTTTTATAGCACTTTCAGGTTCACAACAAAACGCAGAGGAAGATACAGAGATTTCTCATGTACCTCCTGCCCCGACACATAGATCACCTCCCTCATTATCAACATCCCATACCAGAATGGTACATTTACAATTGATGAACCTACATTTATACGTTATTCCCACCCAGAGTACATAGTATATATATATAATTTCTTTTCTTTATAACCTACCCAGTTTCAGGTATTTTCTTATGAGCAACACTAAACAGACTATGACAGTAAGAGTAATGTTGAGTTTTTTAAGCAACCAATAAACTGTATTTCAAAGCGGCTGTGCCATTTTGCATTCCCACCAGCAATGCATGAGAGCTTGTGTTCCTCCACATCCTTGCCAGCATTTGGTGTTGCCAGTGTTCTGGACTTTGGCCAATCTAATAGGTGTGTAGCGGTATTTCATTGATGTCTTAATGTGCATTTTCCTGATGACATATGATGCACTTTATCATATGCTTATTTGAGTACTGTATATCTTCTTTGGTGAGGTGTCTGTTAAGGTCTTTGACCCATTTTTAAATTAAGCTGTTTGTTTTTTGATTGTTGAGTTTAAAGAGTCTTTGCATATTTTGTGTAATAGTTTTTATTGCATATGTCTTTTGTAGGTATTTTTCTCCCAGGCTGTGGCTTGTCGTTTCATTCTCTTGAGAATGTCTTTTGCTGAGTAGAAATTTTTAGTTTTAATGACACCCAGCTTATCAGTTTGTTCTTTCATAAATCATACCTTTTGCATTATATCAAAAATGCTATTGCCAAAATCAAGATCATCTAGATTTTCTCCTATATAATCTTCTAGGAGTTTATGCTTTTGCATTTACATTTAAGTCTGTGATCCATTTTGATTAATTTTTTTGTGAAGAGTGTAAAATTTGTGCTTAGATTGATTTTTTTATTGTATATGAACATTCAGTTGTTCCGGAACCATTTGTTGGAAAGACTATATTTGCTCCATTATATTGCGTTTGCTCCTTTGTCAAAGATCAGTTGACTTTATTCTGTTCTATTTCTGAGCTCTCTATTCTGTTCCATGGATTTATTTATTTCTACTTTCACCAATGCTATACTGTTTTTATTACTATATTTTTGCTATTGTTTGAATGTATCTCCCTAAATTAATGTGTTGGAAAATTAATCACCAATACAACGTCATTGAGAGGTGGGATCGTTAAGAGGTGATTAGGTCATGAAAGCTCTGTCCTCACAAATGAATTAAAGCCATTATCACAGGATTGGTAAGATATTGAGGAAGTGGGTTCCTGATAAAAGAATGAGTTCAACTCCCTTGTTTTGCACATGTGCATGCACTCTCTTGCTCTGGAACTTCTGCCATCAGATGACACAGTGAGCAAGTCCTTTCAGATGTAAGCTCCTCAACCTTGGACTTACCAGCCTTCAGAATTGTAAGAAATTAATCTTTGTTTTTTCTAAATTACTAAATATCTGGTATTCTGTGATAGCAGCACAAAATAGACTCCTACGTGTACCCTTATAGTAAGACTTAATGTCAGGTAATGTTAGTCCTACAACCTTGCTCTTCTCACTCAATGTTGTATTGGCTGTTCTGGGTTTTTCTGCCTCTTCATATAAACTTTAGAATCATTTTGTCAATATCCACAAATTAACTTGCTAAAATTTTGATTGTGATTACATTAAATCTATAGATCAAATTGGGAATTACTGATATTCTAACAATATTTAGTATTTCTATTTATGAACAAGGAATATTTCTTCATTTATTTATTTATTTGATTTCTTTTACCAACTTTTGTGGTTTTTCTTGTATAGATCTTGTAAATACTTTGTTAGATTTATGACTAAGTATTCGTGTGTGCTAGAGTAAACACTATTATATTTTCAATTTTAAATTCTACTTGTTCATGGCTAGTATATAGGAAAGTAATTTAAAGTAATTGACTTATCTATAATTAACCTTGTATTCTTCAACTTTGCTAAAATCACTGATTAGTTTCAGGAGTTTGTTGATTCTTTGGATTTTGCACATAAATAATTATGTCATCGGCAAACAAAGACAGTTTTCTTTCTTTCTTCTCAATCTATAAACCTTTTATTTTCTTGTCTTATTACATTAGCAAACACTTCCAGTATGAAGTTGAAAAACAGTGATGAGAGGGGACATCTTTGTCTTGTTCTTGATCTTAGTGAGAAAGCTTCATGTTTCTCATCACTAAATATGTAGTTAGCTGTAGCTTTTTTGGTAAATATTGACATCTTTATCAATATCTCAAGGAAGTTCCCTACTATTCCTAGTTTACTGAGAATTTTTATCATGAGTTCATGCTGGATTTTGTTCAATGCTTTTTCTGCATCTATTGATATAGTCATATGCTTTTTTCTCTTTAGCCTTTTGATGTGATTTGTTACATCAATTGATTTGCAAATTGAACCAAGCTTATATACCTGTGTCTTAGTTCATTTTCTGATGCTTATCACTGAATACTTGAAACTGGGTAATTTATGAAGAAAAATAATTTATTTCTTACAGCTATGGAGGCTCAGAACATAAGGTTGAGGGTCTGCTTTTGGTGAAATACCTTCTCGCTGTTGAGAACTCTCTGCAAAGTCCTGAGGCAGTGCAGGGCATCATATGGCAAGAAAGTTGAGCATACTAGCTCTGGTCTCTCTTTCACTTTTTAGAAAGCCCATTAGTCTCACTCCTGTGATAACCCATTAATCCATTAACTCATTAACCCATTTATTCAATGATCTATGAATGGAGTGGTTCATTCATGAGGGCAGAGCCCTCATAACCCAATCATCTTTTAAAGACCCAGCTTTTAATAATGCCTCAATGGGAATTAAATCTTAAATGAGTTTTGGAGGGTACAAATATTCAAATCAAAGCAATCTGGAATAAATTTCACTCAATTATATTGTATAATTATTTTTATACATTGTTGAATTCAATTTGCTTAGTGTCCTGTTAGGGTATTTTGCATCTACATTCATGAGAGATATGAGTCTGTAGTTATTTTTTTTTCTTGTAATATCTTTGCAGGATTTTCGTATTAGGGTAATGCTGGCCTCATACAGTGAGTTAAGAAGTATTCTCTTTGCTTTTATACTCTGAAAGACATTATAGAGAATTAATAATGTCTGTCTTTATATTTTTGATAGACTTCACCAGTGATTTCATCTGGGCCTGGTGCTTTCTGTTTCGAAAGATTATTAGTTATCAATAAAATTTCTTAAGTCGGTATAGGCCTCTTCAGATTGTCTATTTCTTCTTGTGTGAGTTGTGGGAGATGTGTTTTTCACGGAATTGGCCCATTTCATCTAGATTATTAAGTTTGTGGGTGTAGAGTTGTTCATAGCAGTGCTCAGTTACCCTTTTAATATTCATAAGATCTGTAGTGATGTTCCTTCTTTCATCTCTGATATTAATAATTTATGTCTTTTTTCTTTATCTGTTAGCTTGGCTAGAAGCGTGTCAATCTTATTTATGCCTTAAAATAACCAGCTTTTGGTTTTATTACTTTTCTCTATTAATTTTGTTTTCAATTTTATTGGTTTCTGCTCAACTTTTCATTATTTCTCTTCTGCTTACTTTGGATTTAATTTGCTCTTTTATTTTCTAGTTTCTTACAGTGGAAATATAACCAATTT